TAACGAGTGAGAGAAGGAAGCTGAGAGTCTGAGACCAGATGAGAGATGAGTGACGAGTGAGAGAGGAATCTGAGAGTAATTGAATCACATGAGTGAAGACTTGAAATGAAGTGAAAGTCTGAACTCTGAATAGTGAAAATATATACTAACTCTGGTTAAATATATTTATAAATTTATGTATATTCAGGTTTAACCCGATTTTAATATTTAGGTTGAACCCGACAATCCGAAACTTGCTCGAATTAAATTCAGGTTAAAAATTTTTTGTTCAGACTCAAATTAAGTATTAAAAATTATAACTTAAGTCCTGTTTTTTTTTAGATTAGCCTCGAATTGAATTCTGGTTGACCCGTCCAAATTACACCTCCATTTAGTATCCTACAATTCTCTCTCTCACTTATGGTTACGCATGATAGAGTCTCACCAGGGGTCTAGCTGGTGTCACCCTCTTCATTCCATAGGTTTAAAATAATATATGCAAAACTAGGGCGTTTTTAAAATGATTAATTACAAAATACTTCCTTCAAGTTTGGATAATTTGTTATTCATTTTTTTAGGTTTTAATTTCAACAAATAGTCTCCTTAAAGTTTGAATATTTTACAATTAACTTCAACTTCAATAGCAAATTTTAGACCATAAAACATGATGCAAATTAAAAAGACTCAATTACCCTAAAAAAAAGTGTTTGTGTGCACACGTACACGCGCATATGTTGGTGTTGGGTGGAGGTAAAAGTGAAGGTAAAGGTGACCATGTTGTTGTACATTGTGTTTGTGTTGGGCTTGGGTGGAGGTAAAAGTGACCATGTTGTTGTACATTGTGTTTGTGTTGGGCTGGACATATGTATTTTTTTTGGCTTTTTTGTTTCTTTATTTTTTGTTATGGATAAAATTGATATTTCAAAAATAAAAAATATGAAAAATAATATACAAGCTGGAGAGTGTAATGGTAGTTTTATGTTCCAATCAATGTTGTTAAACAATTTAGTCTTCTTGAAACTTAAAATTACAACATTTGAAATTACATGGAGCTGATTGCAACAAGAGATATAGTTGAAGGGAACAAATTATAATTAACCCTTTCTAAAAACTTGAATTGACCACTTCTCTCAAGATGGATGTCATGTTAGTGATAATCTGTCCTTTCAGAATTCAAAAAGGAATCTCTGGGTTCTCTTGAATTCAAGTCTAATCTTTCTTTAATTCAATCTACTCTAATTGTAAAGGGTAGAAATCGCTACCAAATTTCAGCCGTCCACTCGAAGGATTTTGATTGACCTAACGACACCGAATTCCAGTAGTCTTTACCTGACAGGGGGGAGACGACTCTCTTCCGATGTGGGATTGCCTTAAGAAAAAGTCCTATTGGCGAAGAGAGGTAAAGACTACTGGGACTCGGTGTCGCCAGGTCAGCCGAAATCCTTCGAGTGGAGGGCTAAAATTTCGTAGCGATTTCTACCCCTTACACTGATCTTTATTGAATGCATGCCCTTGTTAAGCATAATTCCAAAAACAAATGTATCAATGCATGAATCAAGAATGTCATTAAAATTACTGGAGGGTTGACCTTTCCTCAAAACTTGTCACTTGCAACAGTTCCTTGTAAATATCCCCTTTGTTCAACTTCTAAGAATTCAAACACAATACATTGAAAAAGAAATAAAAACACTATATCGGAAATTGAACATATAAACGTCCAGATCTAACATAATTTGAACGCAATGATCGAGAGAATCGAGCTCCATCATGATCCACCCAACTCGTTCTCATCAGTCATCTCATCCACTCAAAAAGACCAGTAAGTCTGGCTCAAGGGGAGTTCGAGATCCCCCATATAGAACACGGACTACAAATCAAAAGTGCGAAGATGATGGAACTAGATTCTCCTAATCTTTATATTACATAATTGTACGACGACTAGTCTTCAAAGAAGCCAAAAACACAAGAAAAAGAGGACCACAGCAAGGAGAATCACAACAATGCAGAAGTAAAAGAGGCCCATCACCGGATTGTAACCGGGACCTTTACCGTTGCCCTGCTGCTTCCGGCGGCGACGTCTTCGCTGTTTCACGACTATATCTATTCCTTTATCTCTATTCATTTTTCTTCTCTCAGCAAACAAACTAATGGAGAGAGAGAGAGAGAGAGAGAGAGAGAGAAAAGGAGTTTTTATAAGAATTGGAGAGAAGAACTGTTTATAGAGTTAGGTGGTTGCTTGAGCTAGTGATCATTTCCTGGAAGTTTGGTTTCAATTTGGCAGGCTAAACATGCAACGTTATATTGGGGTTTATTTGAAATAATGAAACCCGTGTTTGGGTTTTCAAAGGTTTGTGCTACGCGGTTGGCGTATGTATTACTCGACAAGTCGAAACCAAGATTGCCTTTCATAACAAACGACAATCCCCTTTTGCTTATCACCAACCTTCGTGCTTACTAGGAAACCACATGGAACTTTTTTGGGATCCTAAAGTATAACATCCGTTGAATGGAAATTTGGTCCCATTTAATGTTAGGACTCGTCCCCATTGAGCCTAACATGTTGCTCCGTTGGGAGTAGGGGCCAACTACTTTAATGATCCACCTGATAAAAATGATGGAAATTAGGAGAGAAGAAAAATATGAAACATACATTTTTTATAATTCATGAATGGAAAATAAGAATCATACATTTTCTTTTATTTGTAATTGGTAGGATAGATGAAAGATAATTTTATTTTTTTTTTTGTGTTGGCTAAGATTAGAAATGACAATCGAATCGTGACTTGTCAGGTTTGTGTTGAGTTATGCGGGTTCGTGTCAAACATTAATCAAACTTAACTCAATTCATTTAATTAATCGTGTCGTGTCGAGTTAACCTGTTTATTTTCGCATCGTGTTCGTATTCGTATTCGTATTTATATTCATATTCGTATTGACTCACAGAAATTTTTAATAAAAAATTTAACGCTAATATTCTATTTTCACTTAATTGAATTCATGCTCATACTTTTTCTACAAACTTAAAAATAACTTAAATAAATATAATAATAATAATTAGTAAAAATATCTTTTTTTATATAATAATATGTCAATGTTTAATAAATAGTTACAAATAATTAACATTTTATATCTATAATACTAGTTAAAATATTAATTTCGTATCAATTTCGTGTTACCGTACCAACAAGAAAATAGATAAGTATTTATTCTTAAATAAACGAGTTGATGGTGTCAATTTTTAGTCTGATGGGTTGAACTAAATAAGTATTTATTCTTATATTTCGTATTCGTGTGTCAGATCATTTTCGAGTTCGTATTGAGTTATAATCAAATTTGTGTCATAAAATTCGTGTCGAGTTTGAGTCATGTCATCGTGTTGAGTCGAAAATTTTCACCCCTAGTTAAGATGATTTTTTTTTTGTTTTTATTTTTAAATTTTTTAAAAAATATATAAGTATATAAATGAAATTAATATATACATAATCTATATAATAAAACAGGAGTGTGTTTGAATTTTATCCTAGTCATATTTTCTCCCTCAAAACCATCACCAATCACTTACCTCATCCATCATTCCTTTGCCAGACTCAAACGTCTTATCGCATCACTTATTTCTGTCATATGTTTAATCATTTATATTTTTTTTCCCTAAAAATATCACATCACTCATTTCTATCATATATTTAATCATTTAATATTTGATTAATTTATAGTTAATATTTTTAAAAATAATTAATATAATGGAATCGATTTTTTGAACTTTCGAATTTGATATTTTATTGTGCCTTCAGGCACGGGTTATGACTAGTATATGTATATAACAAAATATATTTAAACAAATAAGATACATTTCAATACAAAAAATTAATTTTTCATTCACTTTCTTTTCGATTTTAGAGGGTTTGATTTTGATGAATTGAAAGGAAAGTTTATCCATCCATTTTTTTATCCTTATTATTTTTCTTCCTTACTAAACATGATATTTTATCTATCCCTCAAATTTTCTATTCTTCGAACCTCCTTCTATTTTTTCATCATACCAAACAGAGTATAAGTGATCTAAAAATTTGTAACCCCATCCTACATAGACGAAAATATATTTGATCTAATGGTTATACCACGTTATTACACCGACTTTTGAAACCATCCAACGATAAAATAAGAAGTGATGCATTCGATTAAAAATTTAATCCAACGGTTTTTTGTCAACAAACATTCTGAAAATTTGTATCTGTTTGGATTTGGGTTATGGTGACCCTTCCTGCTTATAAACGGAAGACCTTTGCAACAAAAAGAATAATTATTTTTCTTTTTTAGTTTCTAAATAGTATCATAATATAGAATAGGAAAGTCTTCAAGTAACGACAAGAGTAAATTATATATATACCCCTCAAATTATAATTTTTATGTCAATTAAGTCTTTAAACTTTTTTAAGTCAATTTGAACCTTTTTTTCTTTTTTTGGAAAGGGGGATTTGAAACTTTGACTTCAATAAGACAAAACATTTACAAGACAAATAATTAGAGAGTTTAATGGTTTAATTGATATAAGAAACATAGTTTAAGGGTTATATGTATAATTTATTCTAAGGACAAATATCCCCGTAAAGAAGGCACTTTTGTTTTTAGGTTGGGTGGGGGAGGGACAAAAAGATTTAAACCCTTGACCTAAGCAAAACCTTCATAAGATAAAGAATAATATTGAACCAAAAGCTGGTATGTGTAAAAACACTTGCATGTGCCTTAGAACTTGTGATCTCTTCGATTATACAGTGATTGCAAACGAAATTTTTTAACATTTGATTAATCCTATCGACAGTATCATATACAGTTTCTCTTTATCTATGCCCTCTTAAATGTATGCTGCTTGGGAGAGTATAATTTCTTTATGAGATTTTGGAGTAGAGCAGTGTCTGAGTAAATGGATAGAGATTTTTGGGAAGTGTCCTGATGCCAATGACCCTGATGAAGTTGGTGGTTTTTGTCAAGGTGTCCCTCTTTCTCTTTCTTGTTCAATTCCTTCAGAGCTTCACTTTTGGATTTTCTTTATGCAAATCACCGACTGTGTACACAAATGGTCCAAGTGAAATGTCATTGAAGTCCTTTAGAGGCTCCAATGTGTCTACCACAGTGCTCATGGTTGGTCTAAGCTTTGGCTGGTGGCTTAGGCACTGATAAGCCAATGATGCTGCCTTCTGAGCACCTGATTCGCAGTATTGGCCTTCAAGCCTCGGGTCAATTATCCGGTTGAGCTTTCGTAGATTCTTCAGTTGGGGCTTTGCCCACACTGCTAGGTTCTGTTCTCTCTGAGGACGGTTCTCATCCAACGATCTCCGCCCTGTTAGAAGCTCTAACAGTAATACGCCAAAGCTATACACATCACTTGCTGCTGTCAAATGACCTGAAAAAACAATTGAAATTCACGCTAATTGATTCAAATTTCAATACATATTTAGATTTGTAACAAATTTGGCAAAGTATAGTAGAAAATTACCAGTCATGAGGTATTCAGGGGCGGTATAGCCTTCAGTGCCAACTACTCTTGTGGAAACATGCGTGTCATCGCCTTCTGGACCATCCGTTGCAAGCCCAAAATCGGAGAGTTTAGCATTGTAATCCTGGATAGAACACAAGAAGAATTCAATAATAAAAATTGATCGAAAAGAAAGAAAACTCTATATGTTTTAAGGCCTTAGGCATTGAGATGGGAAAGAAGATTACAGAGTCTAGCAAAATGTTTGAAGCTTTGAAATCCCGGTATATAACAGGCTTGTCAGCTTGGTGGAGGAAGGCAAGGCCCTTTGCTGCTCCAAGAGCAATTTTCATCCTTACTGACCATGGAAGCGATACTGAATATCCTGCACAAAGGGGAGGGAATAAACACCTAATTAATCATCCATTGCTTCATCCAAATTTCGAAATCTTGAACACTGAAGTTATGGTCCTTGAAGTCATAGAATTTTTTATTTTTCTATTCGTGCTAAGTTTAAACAAGTTTTTTTTTTTTTTTATTCCGCCAATTTCTCGTTTATAAACATGTAACCAGGAAACCCATTAAACTTTCGTGTTTGGTGGAGAAGAAGCGAACAAAGGTCTGTCTTGTTCTCTATAGTGAACTGGGATTGCTCATCAATTAGGTCAAATTGGAATAAGGTTGTATGCAAAAATACTACCCATTTTTTGAGACAAGGGATAGAATGATCTCTCGATCTATTTATTGCAGCCCAATAAGAAAAACGTGGTCTAGGCACTCCCTCATGGCCAAATTTAAATGGTAATATATTGAGCTAATTGACAAGTTCCTAGCCGCCAAATGAAGTGGAAAACAGGAAGCTTGCACCCTAAAAAAATTCTTCCCCTGATGAAAGAAGAAAAAAGTCCATTGATCCCATTGTAAACCACTAAGATAACAGTGTCATTGACTTTTCTTGATCCTTTTTTATTGACTACTATTGAGCTGGCTTTGTAAATAAAGCAATCTTCTCATACTTTGAGGGTGGAGTAATATTGTATATACCAAAACTCTTATCAAATTTCTCAAACCAAATCATTGTGAATTGTGGTGTTTTTCATTTAACTCCCACTAGTCATCCATGGACTACATATGCACCACATCATCTGTAATTCTGTATCGATAGATGTTGGGGAGGACAGTCAAATTAACAACCTCTGCATCACAAGCGGAGAAACTATGATACTTCTCAAAAATCAAAATTCTTGATCAATGGAGGAACAATATCACCATCGCCCACTAAGATAGAATCATAGAACCCCTAGTTCTTATTTTAATTGTTACAAAACCGTATTAGAAAAAGAAAAAGGAAAAGGAAAAAAATGTATTAAAATGGTAAACTAGTGTAAGCAAAAGAGAACATACTTCTGAAAAGTTGATTCTCCAAGCTACCTCGTGGCATGTATTCGTAAACCAGCAGCCTGTATTCATCTTCACAACAATATCCTATCAGCTTCACCAAATGTGGATGCCTCAATTGTCCAAGAAATATCACTTCTGTCTGTTTAAAAAAAAGGAGATAAAAATAATTGATTCAAGCAATTCCTCACGTTAACCGCGTAAAAATCATGTATCACTTGCGCAAATACGACATTCAAGTATGAAATTAGTAAAAGTAAAGAAAGGTTAGGCGGAAGAACAAGGTAATTTCGATCAATATTTTACATACCAGCCACTCCCTGTGGCCTTGAAAGCCATCCAGATCCAAGACTTTAACAGCCACAGGCTGAGCCTTCAAACCAGGTCTAAGCTTGTCATCAATGAAGCCCTTATGAACCGGTCCAAACCCGCCTTCACCGAGAAAGTTACTCGACGAGAAGCTGTGTGTGATCATCCTCAGCTCTTCAAACGTAAACACATGAAGGTTTGATCCAGCTAGGGAATTGGAGAGATCCTCTGAAGAACTTAAATCCCATAAAGCGACCAGCCTTTGTAATGAATTATTCTGTTTCTTGTGCTTCGGAGATGGACTCTCAACCTTGCAACAGACTGGAATGAAAGATTGCCATGCTCTCTTCTCCACAGTCATTTCTTCTTCAGAGGAATGACTTTATGAGCTAGAAGACAATGACAGGAAAAAATGTGGTGGTGGTGGTGGTGGTGGAGGAAATCTCAATTGCTTTGGAGGGTTTAAATGGAGGTCTAAGACACAAATGACCGACTGTTCCAGGTACAAGACAGAGAGAGAGAGGTTTACAACAACTCAATACGGCTTGATGCCTTTCTTTTTCTCTTTACTACTCTCTACAAATCATTCTTTGTACAATATGAAATTGCTCCGCTACCATTTTATATGTGTAAAAATAGAGGTAAATACTATAGCAGTATGAATATGTGAGTGGGCTAATTCAACACATTTGGTTGAATGGACAATGAGTCGGCTGTGCCAGTACCCTTGACTTTGTTTTATGTGTTTGGAATGAATTTGTGAGGGGCAGCTGCTGCTTTCAGACTTCTTAGATCAATCTTTCCAAATGGGTTTCCAAGATATTTGACTTATTTTGTTTATTGTCATAGGAAATTTCAACTAGAATTGTTATGTTTGGCATCTCATGTTCGGCCTTTTTCCAAGGCCCTAGTCCAATGACGTACCAACTACCAACTATGCTGGATCTATGACTATGAGACAGACTGGAGGAATCACTTCCTAAAGTTTGAAAAAGTCTTGTCATTAACCCTGAACAAAAAGCTCGAACAGTAAAAAAGACAAACCGTAAACTCAGATATCTTGAGTTTAAAACTTGATAATCTTTTAGACCAAGGCGATATAAGGGATTTATCCTTCGTGAATACGTTAATTCTAGCGTGGATGACCTGTCTTTGATAGAACCGATGAGAGGATTAGTTGAGGTGCGTGTAAGTTAATTTAAACACCACTAACTGTTGAAGTAAAAAAAAAAATCTCGCCATTATAATAAAATTATTGTTGAATACTCACAAACTAAAAATTTGGATCCGTGTATAATTATCATAACCATATATTTTCCAGAAGTATGAAACTAAATTTTTAGATATGNGACAAAAAGATTTAAACCCTTGACCTAAGCAAAACCTTCATAAGATAAAGAATAATATTGAACCAAAAGCTGGTATGTGTAAAAACACTTGCATGTGCCTTAGAACTTGTGATCTCTTCGATTATACAGTGATTGCAAACGAAATTTTTTTACATTTGATTAATCCTATCGACAGTATCATATACAGTTTCTCTTTATCTATGCCCTCTTAAATGTATGCTGCTTGGGAGAGTATAATTTCTTTATGAGATTTTGGAGTAGAGCAGTGTCTGAGTAAATGGATAGAGATTTTTGGGAAGTGTCCTGATGCCAATGACCATGATGAAGTTGGTGGTTTTTGTCAAGGTGTCCCTCTTTCTCTTTCTTGTTCAATTCCTTCAGAGCTTCACTTTTGGATTTTCTTTATGCAAATCACCGACTGTGTACACAAATGGTCCAAGTGAAATGTCATTGAAGTCCTTTAGAGGCTCCAATGTGTCTACCACAGTGCTCATGGTTGGTCTAAGCTTTGGCTGGTGGCTTAGGCACTGATAAGCCAATGATGCTGCCTTCTGAGCACCTGATTCGCAGTATTGGCCTTCAAGCCTCGGGTCAATTATCCGGTTGAGCTTTCGTAGATTCTTCAGTTGGGGCTTTGCCCACACTGCTAGGTTCTGTTCTCTCTGAGGACGGTTCTCATCCAACGATCTCCGTCCTGTTAGAAGCTCTAACAGTAATACTCCAAAGCTATACACATCACTTGCTGCTGTCAAATGACCTGAAAAAACAATTGAAATTCACGCTAATTGATTCAAATTTCAATACATATTTAGATTTGTAACAAATTTGGCAAAGTATAGTAGAAAATTACCAGTCATGAGGTATTCAGGGGCGGTATAGCCTTCAGTGCCAACTACTCTTGTGGAAACATGCGTGTCATCGCCTTCTGGACCATCCGTTGCAAGCCCAAAATCGGAGAGTTTAGCATTGTAATCCTGGATAGAACACAAGAAGAATTCAATAATAAAAATTGATCGAAAAGAAAGAAAACTCTATATGTTTTAAGGCCTTAGGCATTGAGATGGGAAAGAAGATTACAGAGTCTAGCAAAATGTTTGAAGCTTTGAAATCCCGGTATATAACAGGCTTGTCAGCTTGGTGGAGGAAGGCAAGGCCCTTTGCTGCTCCAAGAGCAATTTTCATCCTTACTGACCATGGAAGCGATACTGAATATCCTGCACAAAGGGGAGGGAATAAACACCTAATTAATCATCCATTGCTTCATCCAAATTTCGAAATCTTGAACACTGAAGTTATGGTCCTTGAAGTCATAGAATTTTTTATTTTTCTATTCGTGCTAAGTTTAAACAAGTTTTTTTTTTTTTATTCCGCCAATTTCTCGTTTATAAACATGTAACCAGGAAACCCATTAAACTTTCGTGTTTGGTGGAGAAGAAGCGAACAAAGGTCTGTCTTGTTCTCTATAGTGAACTGGGATTGCTCGCCAATTAGGTCAAATTGGAATAAGGTTGTATGCAAAAATACTACCCATTTTTTGAGACAAGGGATAGAATGATCTCTCGATCTATTTATTGCAGCCCAATAAGAAAAACGTGGTCTAGGCACTCCCTCATGGCCAAATTTAAATGGTAATATATTGAGCTAATTGACAAGTTCCTAGCCGCCAAATGAAGTGGAAAACAGGAAGCTTGCACCCTAAAAAAATTCTTCCCCTGATGAAAGAAGAAAAAAGTCCATTGATCCCATTGTAAACCACTAAGATAACAGTGTCATTGACTTTTCTTGATCCTTTTTTATTGACTACTATTGAGCTGGCTTTGTAAATAAAGCAATCTTCTCATACTTTGAGGGTGGAGTAATATTGTATATACCAAAACTCTTATCAAATTTCTCAAACCAAATCATTGTGAATTGTGGTGTTTTTCATTTAACTCCCACTAGTCATCCATGGACTACATATGCACCACATCATCTGTAATTCTTTATCGATAGATGTTGGGGAGGACAGTCAAATTTACAACCTCTGCATCACAAGCGGAGAAACTATGATACTTCTCAAAAATCAAAATTCTTGATCAATGGAGGAACAATATCACCATCGCCCACTAAGATAGAATCATAGAACCCCTAGTTCTTATTTTAATTGTTACAAAACCGCATTAGAAAAAGAAAAAGGAAAAGGAAAAAAATGTATTAAAATGGTAAACTAGTGTAAGCAAAAGAGAACATACTTCTGAAAAGTTGATTCTCCAAGCTACCTCGTGGCATGTATTCGTAAACCAGCAGCCTGTATTCATCTTCACAACAATATCCTATCAGCTTCACCAAATGTGGATGCCTCAATTGTCCAAGAAATATCACTTCTGTCTGTTTAAAAAAAAGGAGATAAAAATAATTGATTCAAGCAATTCCTCACGTTAACCGCGTAAAAATCATGTATCACTTGCGCAAATACGACATTCAAGTATGAAATTAGTAAAAGTAAAGAAAGGTTAGGCGGAAGAACAAGGTNTAAAAAAAAGGAGATAAAAATAATTGATTCAAGCAATTCCTCACGTTAACCGCGTAAAAATCATGTATCAATTGCGCAAATACGACATTCAAGTATGAAATTAGTAAAAGTAAAGAAAGGTTAGGCGGAAGAACAAGGTAATTTCGATCAATATTTTACATACCAGCCACTCCCTGTGGCCTTGAAAGCCATCCGGATCCAAGACTTTAACAGCCACAGGCTGAGCCTTCAAACCAGGTCTAAGCTTGTCATCAATGAACNGTAATTTCGATCAATATTTTACATACCAGCCACTCCCTGTGGCCTTGAAAGCCATCCAGATCCAAGACTTTAACAGCCACAGGCTGAGCCTTCAAACCAGGTCTAAGCTTGTCATCAATGAAGCCCTTATGAACCGGTCCAAACCCGCCTTCACCGAGAAAGTTACTCGACGAGAAGCTGTGTGTGATCATCCTCAGCTCTTCAAACGTAAACACATGAAGGTTTGATCCAGCTAGGGAATTGGAGAGATCCTCTGAAGAACTTAAATCCCATAAAGCGACCAGCCTTTGTAATGAATTATTCTGTTTCTTGTGCTTCGGAGATGGACTCTCAACCTTGCAACAGACTGGAATGAAAGATTGCCATGCTCTCTTCTCCACAGTCATTTCTTCTTCAGAGGAATGACTTTATGAGCTAGAAGACAATGACAGGAAAAAATGTGGTGGTGGTGGTGGTGGTGGAGGAAATCTCAATTGCTTTGGAGGGTTTAAATGGAGGTCTAAGACACAAATGACCGACTGTTCCAGGTACAAGACAGAGAGAGAGAGGTTTACAACAACTCAATACGGCTTGATGCCTTTCTTTTTCTCTTTACTACTCTCTACAAATCATTCTTTGTACAATATGAAATTGCTCCGCTACCATTTTATATGTGTAAAAATAGAGGTAAATACTATAGCAGTATGAATATGTGAGTGGGCTAATTCAACACATTTGGTTGAATGGACAATGAGTCGGCTGTGCCAGTACCCTTGACTTTGTTTTATGTGTTTGGAATGAATTTGTGAGGGGCAGCTGCTGCTTTCAGACTTCTTAGATCAATCTTTCCAAATGGGTTTCCAAGATATTTGACTTATTTTGTTTATTGTCATAGGAAATTTCAACTAGAATTGTTATGTTTGGCATCTCATGTTCGGCCTTTTTCCAAGGCCCTAGTCCAATGACGTACCAACTACCAACTATGCTGGATCTATGACTATGAGACAGACTGGAGGAATCACTTCCTAAAGTTTGAAAAAGTCTTGTCATTAACCCTGAACAAAAAGCTCGAACAGTAAAAAAGATAAACCGTAAACTCTGAGTTTAAAACTTGATAATCTTTTAGACCAAGGCGATATAAGGGATTTATCCCTCATGAATACGTTAATTCTAGCGTGGATGACCTGTCTTTGATAGAACCGATGAGAGGATTAGTTGAGGTGCGTGTAAGTTAATTTAAACACCACTAACTGTTGAAGT